TATATTTGGTTTGTCACGCTGGCTGCTAAGAGGACCAACTGCCACTGCAAAGATTTACATCCAGCAGTGAATCCTCTAAATAAGGATTTGGTTCTGTAAACTCTCTCTCTATATTGCGGAGATCTGCATAGTGACAACCATAGGAACGGATGAAAAAATATATTTTAAAATAATTCAGTGCATTAAACAAATACTCTTAGTAGCTTTAATACGCCTTATAGTTAGAGTATAGAGCCTTATAGTTAAGATACTAAAACAGTTTTGTCCTATTTGTAATGAACTTTGTTGATCATTTTATGATGCTTCACTAGACTTGGTTGAAAAATGTTTAAAAGTAAAGAAAAAGAAACCAGCATAGTCATGCCAGTCAAACATTCTACACCATAAATAACCAGTCGGTGAAGGAACATGCCACCACACCTGAAACACAAACAAACCTGTATACACATGAAACTACTGTGCCATGACCAATAGGTATTTTCGGTAGTTCCCAACACTACTGAAAGTGAAAGAATGATCTTACATACAAATACTCGGATTGGATCTAGTGTCTTTAAGAAAGCAAACTGAGAAAGTGAAAGTGCATGACATACAGTGTGCTGACTACAGAGAGCATGTACATGCAAAAACATTCATGTAGGTAGAGTAGGTTTTGTGTTTAAAAAAAAAAGTCTAATTGTTGAATTAGTGCACAATTCAGTTTACTACTTTAATTAAAAACAAACAAACTGTGCATGATCTTACATATTTGTAAAAATGTGTCTTCTACACATAAACAAATAAAACTTCCCACTGCTTGTTCCTTCCAATCATATGACAAAATAAAGACGATTAATATTCCTGGAAATTCCAGAACAGGATAGACATCCTCCTCTAATCCAGATATAATGCAGCTCCCTTGAGACTTTTCACAAATGACTCAAGAGCTTTGCTGTGACAACTCAACAAAAATAGCTTCTCAATTTATGTAAGTATTATAAACAAAGATTCTCTCGGACAAAATACATTGAAAATACACTTTTAATAATTTTTTTAAATTATTCTTTAAAGTAGTAAACTGTATTTATCCTAATGTTTTATATTTATACAATTAGTTAGCTTATGCAAGTTGAGCAGAAGTTGAACTAATGCATGTGCATTTTTAAACTACAGAGAAAATTCTGTATTGTGAAAAATATCAAGACTCAATTTACAGTTTTGAAAATGGAAGTATCAACAAAACTACTACTATGTAGGTGTTTGTTGAGAGAGAATGAAGGCACCTACATTTTACATTCTTTATGTAACTGGTGTGAAAAATGCATTGATTTAATCTGACTTATTTTTGTTTTTTTCTTTTGTATTGTATTATTATTTATATTTTTATTTACTGTTTATATTATGTTCTAATTCTACTGTGTTTTGTAATACGCATGAGTTGATGATCTTCACAAAAATGTTGTTCTATGGGATCAGAATCCCGCCTAAAGTATTGCAGTCACACATAAAAAAATAACAAGCGTGAAAACAAAATTTTAAAACACAAGAAAAAATATATTGCACAAGATTTAAAAATGAAAGCAAAGTTTTCAGAATAGCAAACAATGGTCACGGATTGAAAAATAATAAGCGTAAATCAAAAAATTAATAACGCATTTAAAAAAAAAAAAAAAAGCATGAATCAAAACTTTATACACGTTTAAAATCATATTGCATACAATTTAAATATTAATGCAAAATTGTCTGACTTGCACACAAAATCATGTTTTCCTTGGTTATATTTGTTTTTTTCTGCTCTCAGACATTTTCTGCTCATATTTTTATTTTTTGTATGCTTATGCTGTTTTTCCCTTCGCTCTTGTTTCCACGTTCTGCGCTT